TCACTTTTCACTTTTGGTGTCCATGTATTTAGGTATGGGCGGATGAAAAATTTTCGGGCGAATTTTTTTTTCGAGCGAAACTCGGAACAAGGCAGAATAATAATAGATTGGCGCTTAGACAATCTGCCTGAGTATCGCCTGAAAAAAAAAATCACCCGAAAATTTGTGATCCGCCCATAGTAAAACTATGGAAACCAAGAGTGAAAAGTGAACCGGTTTGGGGAAAATAAAACTCATGATAAGGCTGAATGTGTTAGTGTTTGGCCGAGGGTGATAAGATTTTCGGACCGCAATGCTTAACACTGTTCGAATCTTTTATGTTTTATTTTTTAGAATTGAGATTAGAAGGGTATTGTTTTCATTGAATTAAGGGTGTTAGGACAATCCACTGTCAAAATGTGAAAAAAAATTTATCAATAATTTATTATTAACATGCAAAATAATGACGCTAGAAAAAAAAGCTTAAACAAAAAATGTACATAGATTTTTTCGGCTAACAAAAAAGTATTCTTGAGTTTTTTCGAAAAAAAATTTAAATTGCGAAAAACGTTTAAACTCTTCTTTTCAAGATGCCGGCGATTCCACAACCCCCCTGAGACCCGCAAATCTTTTATTAAAATCTCTTTAACCTACTCAATAAAAATCAAAACGGTTTATGGAACTTACCAAAAATTACCACTTTTTTGCTAATTTCGCTGTACTATTTCCTTCAAAAGCTCATTTTTAACGTTGCACAGTGTAATTGAGCCAGTCGTTAATTGTTACTCAATGCTATAAGTATGTATATCCTCATACATATGTATGTACATGAATTATGCATCATCACGCATCTATAACTCTACCCATTCAGCTATTTTTAGCAGCCGTCAAAGCTGTAAATCATAGTTAATTAATTATTTATTTATTTATTATTAACTTTTAGCTATCATTAAAGATATATCCTTGTGTAGTAATACAACCTTTATTTATTTATTTATTTATTTTTTCTATTTGCAGTTTGGTCTTCCATCATGCGCGAACACCCGAGTTCAACACTCGTTACCACCCGCAAACCCTTGCCAACACCACCAGATTCCTCCATCATAATCCTAACACATCAGAAGACGGCCAATACAGCAGCCCCCTCATCTGCCAACGCTGCAGCCGCCGCCGCTGCCTCCACTACAACCAACAGCCAAAATCCACTCTTCGACAGCGATGCTGATCACAAGCACAAATTTGCCTGGGACATGGACTTCGCCTACGGTTATCCCGTCACTCAAACAACAGTCAATCAGAAGCCTCACGCCGAGACTTTCCTCAGCGGTCCGCTTGTCTTCCGCGTTCGCCCTGATGGCACTCCAGTCGAGGAAGATCAGCACAAACCTCTGCCACGCGATGAAGATTTGGAGGCTTATCAATTGAGTAGCGCTGCGGCTGGTAGGGGGGGTGCCGCTGCCTCCACAGCAGCGCCAGCCGTCAGTAGTGGCCAGCCTAAGCATCGCAAAATTGCTATGATCAGTGATCTTAAGCAGCAGCACTTGGCTTCGATGGCGTTGCATCGTGATTTGCAGCCACCTTACCAACAGCAACTGCGCATCCGTCGGCAGCAGCAGCAGCAACAGCAAAACGTGGCCGTAGCTGGGCGTGCGTTCCCATTTGGCGGTTACTACTACGCTCAGGGCCAAGCGTAAAAATCTATCAGTAAACGTAAACTTCAGATAGAATAGAACTGAAGTGAGAATATTTCTAAACACACAAAAAGGATAATTTCAATTAATATTCGATATGTAATTCAACTGTTCGTCGACTAGTTTTCGTTTAATGATTAATCGTCTAAAAATAATTTGTGATAATTATCAGATTATCGAACAGACGCATTAACTGAATCGAATGGGAGTCGGAACGAAATCACTTTGTTTTCTTAAGCAACTAAAGAGATTTTTACCTTGAACTGAAACCCAGCTCAACCGCCGTTTGCCGAAATGCTCACTACACAAAAACACTTTTTCCTGATTATTTTCTTTTCATAACTGTTTAGCATAGGTAGTAAAAGTGCTGGTGTGTATGCGTTTTGTATTTGTGTGAATGTAAATACTTATAGGTTTCATTTATACTACATTCTTAGATATATTTTAAATTTAAATTTTAATTTTAATATAAATTTGACTAACGAAATTTCTTATTATCGTAGAATAATATTCGTTAATCTATTAACAAAAACTTTGACATGTACTTTGTTTTGAAATATTTACTTTAAATTTTAATGCTCGATTATTTATTGTACTTAGATATATAGAACTTACTTGTATTTCATAATAAAGAATTAATTTTATACATACATACATATGTACACAATAATGAAAGTTTCAAATTACATTCAATTGAAATTGTAGACAGAACGAGCAGTCCTCGCTAATTTAGGTTTTTTTTTTTTGTATGGGAAGCGGAGGATGTCGACATTGCCTGCCAAGCGGCGACCGCTGTTAGAAAACACTTTTTTTTAGATGTTGCTCGGGCCTTGGATCGAACACAGAAATAAAGAAAAAATGTCTTAAGCTTTAGAACAGTTTAATTTAAAAAACAACTTTGCAACGGTATGGAAAAATATGGGTTTTCCAAATAATAATAACCGAATAACTGAGCATACCCTAGAAACATGAGTACCGTTCTCGCTATTTTTCCACAAAAATGTTATTTTCGGATCTGTGTAGTTACATAAAGCGTTTGACCGTTCCAATGCCTTAACAATGTTTTTTGATGCAAAAAATATACGGGTCGATACTGAGCCCTGAGAAAATCACTGAATGCGAGTAAATAATTTTATAATGCTTTCTCATGTTTTTACGTAATTTTAAATAAATTTAATAATTATGTATGATGAATTTACTCACTAGGTAACATAAATTTTCACCGGTACATATTTAGAATAAAAAAGTTTTGTAACAAAGCTTCAAAGGGCGAAGAATGTGTAACATTTTAAGAAGCGAACACAAAATTTGCTCACTATTTCGCTTTATTTTATAGTCGAACACGAAAAGAGAAAGGGGCGATCAAAAGGCGAAATTTTTTGATAGAAACGGAAACACCATTAATCATCCCTACCACCATCCGCCATCCTCTCTCTTCCTCTGTCGCTTTTTCGTTTCATTGAAGTTTTCAAAAACATTTCGATTGATTACAATATTGATAATGATTGATTTAACTTATTAAATAATTTCAATATAGCTTTTTTAACAAATGGAAACTCTTTTGGAAAAAATAACATCCTCAATGCACATGGTACCATTATTATTATTAATATAATATTTTTGATGTGGAGCAAAACTCGGAGGGCAGACAATAGCTGTGAATAATTGTATCATGATTGCATATCTACAGGCCCAAGCCTGTTAACTTGACATCTCAGTTTAGAAATCGAACGAACGGTGCGGATCTAATGACTATAACAAAAAATGCCTTCGCGTATTATGAGTATTTTCCCGCATAATAATGAACAGTTATTCCACTCACTTCAAAAACAATTGCGAAAAAATTTGAGGAGTACAAGATAATAAATAATTTGTGAGTTAATGTAATTACTTACTATTATTTCACTTCCATTTCTCTAGAAAAGCATACATTTATTATCTAGCCCAAAATAATTTTACAAATATAAAACACCTTAAAATCAAATCGTAAAAATTTCACAATTCTAATAAATATTTTGGTACATATCTACCAAGGCACATAAATACAGGTAGAAGCCAAAATGACGTTGCTCTCATGATAACCAAACCTTTAAACAAGGCGAATTTATATTATAAGGTGGTGTTACTAGATCAGCTGATTTTGTGTATGTGTTTCGCCTCACGGCTTCTAATGTCAAATTGAAAAATTTTGTTTGAATTTCCACACACACACTTACAGATTTTGACAGTTTATGCCGCCAAAGCAAAAACAAAATACATGTAAATTTTTGTTTTTGTTCTCCTGCTATCACCTTATATTAATTCGCCTTGCCTTTAAACTTCAAATTGTTTTCCTTTTATTTCCTACATTTCGTTACGCTTTGAGTGACATGTCGTTCTTTTTTTTGAATGTTCGTTAATGACAAATTTTAATTAGCATTTGAATTTTTGTAGTGTTGTGCGGTTTATACTTAGTGTATGTGTTAAAAATGCAACACCTGAAGCGCTGTTTTTTATGTGGTGTTAAATATAAAGAAGCCACCACTCATTTTTTTAACGTGCCTCAATGTCCTTGGCGTAAGGAGCGTTGGGAAGGCAGCTGTGGGGTAGAGCTGCAGCGAAATGCCTTGCTGTGCGTTAAACATTTTAAAGCAGCAGATTTCATAAATGCACCGGGAGGTACAGGAAAGGCACGTTTGATGCCAAGTGCTGTTCCTATGACCCTTATGCCGGAAAGTCCCTCCAACAACACTGCAACTCATAAATTAAAAACAGAAAACATACAAGTTAACAAATTTTAAAGAAAATAAATAAATAAAAACAAAACTTCAAATTTACTCAAAAACGTCAACCAGCGAAATGTAATTTTGTATTTTTCCTTACACACGCTCATTTTTATTTTTACTCTCCCAAAAACTTTGACTTTTGTAGGTTTGATGTCAATTTGGCTTCTACCTGTTTTTATTGTACCATGCATATCTACTATCAAAATGTATTCAACAAAGTGTGATTGATTTTGACATTGCTCTCATAAGAAACAGGTTATAATGTCAAATTGAAATGAATTGTTAACCCATTTGAAAATATTTTTTTTTCAAATTTGAATTGGTTAAAAAAAAAGTACACAAAAATTTTCTTAATAAACGTGAAATTGTTAAGAGATAAACCGCCGAGGAGAGCAAGTAAGCACATTTAAAGTTTGGTAATAAGTAAATATGTACGTTCGACTTTGCTTGAATATTTAATGTAAGGAAACCAAGATGAAACGGAGCAAAACCTTTGAACGGTGCGCTGTATGCAATAGAATTCAGGACACGAAAATAGAGCGATGTTTTAAACCACCTAGTTGCGAGTTAAGACGGCAGCGATGTAGTGTTGTACTACGTGATTCATCTCGCGTTTGTGAAAACCACATCAAGGAAAGTGATTTCATTTGTTGTCCGTCCGAGTCAAGCACTTTCAAACGAGCTCGTTTATACCCAAACTATTTCGTATGAAAAAAATTTAATTTCAAAATTGGTAGAGTTAAGCTCTCATATAAAATTGGAAACAAATATAAAATAACACTTATATAAGTGCCGAATAATATTTAGGATAAAAAACTTATATATAAAAATAAACGCACAAAACCAAACATCTTGGGCAATTAAAAACAAGAAAATTGCTAAACGATTTTATAAACAACTTGTTTTATTTTATTGACAAATATATATTCCAGGTAATGTAAGTAAAACAAAACTATAATCAAAATAAAAGCCTTGGTATCAGTGCTGACAAGATACATGCATCACTAAGGGTTAATTCGTTTGTTTATACTTTTTGACATTATAGTACATCAAAAGAGAGCCGCACTGAGTTGTCAATCACACCTTGTTTAATACACCTTGTCTACCATGATAAAAACATTACAAGGTAAATTCATTCTCTCATTTCGTCGGCCATGATTTTTTTCTGACGTTTGCCAACATTTTAAAATCATATAAAATTGAAAATAAAAAAATTAAATTGTTCACAATTGTTGTTGTTTGAGATTGAAAATGAGAATGTGTGTGTGAGTTTGAGTTTTGATTTTAAAATTATATTGTTGGCAAACGTCAGACTGCCTCTCAATGGTTTTACCTTGTTATGTTTTTATCATGTTGTCTACTATTATTATTATTGTTGTCTTCATGCATTATTTTTTAAATTTATCATGTTCCGATATCGTAAATTTGTTGTAGAAAATCTGTACAAAAACTCATCTGTTATTCAGTAATGCCACTCTACAAATTTCGAATTTACGAATTGAAACTATGCAAATTCAAAATGATGGACCTAATATGGTAGCTACTAATAAATTTAATGAATTTAAACGTTCTCTGGCGCGGATAGACGATAGCGAGTTTGGTTTGAATTGAAACCGTTCGTTCCGCCACTCGCTAACTGTTGGCGAATCGATGGCGGCAATTGTTTTCTACATTCACATCCGGTATCGCCATTATCGACATACCCACTTACCAATGTCGGTAACAAAGTAAAATTTCCATTTTAATATTTTGGTAGACTTTGTGCATTTTCAATGCTAATTTGGCATGGTGGAATAAATAGATGGTGTGTTGGATATTGACAGCGTTCTCGCTCGTATCCGCCATTTTACCGCCTTTGAAACCATACTAAACCTCTGACTAAACTACCTCATTCCCTATTCCAAAACTGATTTGCAATCACTTGACAATTCTTTGACATAAACTTTTTTCTTATTCGTTGACCACGGAAAATTAAGTGAGTAATTTTAAACATTTAGGTTGTTCACAGTTGCCTGGTTATCAGGTTATGTGGTTATATTTTTTATTCAGTTTACAACAATAAAATACACTACACAATAATAATATTTGTCCTAGGGTAGGGCCATATATTCAAGCTCTGCATTACATCGGAGTAGGAAGTACCTTCCTCTTGGCAATACAGCCCAATAAACATCGAATAGGGATTATGATCGTTAAAATACGAGCAATTAGGCTAACAATAAGCTAATGTAGATACTACACGAGTTGGTCCGCTACTACATTACAGAAGAGTATTTTGCGAGTGATCCAATATGGCACAGAGGACCACGATTTTTACAGGGATACCCAAACTCCCTTACATACATACATATGTACATGTTTTGTATTCAAATATGAGTATACGTATGTATGTGTGTATATCGTATGTATGCATGTACGCATAAATGTGTGGGCCTTGATGGGTTTTGAATCGGAATGGGGAGCAGCACGAGCGGCTACAAAATCAAAATAACAACAGAACCGGCATCTACTCGTACTTGATGCGCCCCAACCAGTTCGTATGCCGGACGGAGCTCTTTCTCGTCGCTTTAGCGGTACGAGGCCAGTTGTTTTTATCAATTCGAGGCAAGTGGTTGTGAATTTGTGTAATAGCTAAATAGCAAAATAGAAATTTTGTACACACTAATTACATATGTATGTATGTACATATCGTCACCTGAAAGGCAAAAAGACGTAACAACATCGTAACTGATATGGAAAAAATTGTTACTAATATTTAATTTTTTTTTTTTTA